TGGAAGTATCCGGACAGAAATGGTCCTTCGGGCCCTTTTTGAGCACAACATACTCCAAGTCCATGACATCGTCTTTGTCCTCTTTGATTTGGGTCCAGTCAGACTCAAAATGGTGGTCTATGTGGTGGAAAGCCTTCAATACTATCCCCAAAGCACCAAAAATCAAGTTACACACCTAGAAATCACAAAAAATGACGACCTATTTCCTTTCGAGTTTGTTTGTAACAATTTCTTGATCGAGGTTGGTTCGTTTATCTTAACTGTGGTGCTGGCCTTAATCTATTACCCACCCAGCGTCCATCCCAGCCTATGCAATCTGTCACCGGGGGGTCAACCAGTGACCTTCCACACACTCAATCCTTGGTGGCCAAGTTCTGTTATGACACACGCCCTCCTCCTCCGCTGCCAAACCAAGGTGATAGCTCTATCATCTTGGCTTTTGTCCATTATACATTGCGGCCCGCACTTTTCCAACCGATCTCCACCATCTGCCAACACACGGGATCAGCTATCTTAGTTAGCGCTCTGATCATAACTTGTGGCACCATCCATACATTGCTGGATGTGTGGGTTCCCAGCAAATTTCGCTAGGAGCAGGAGCTTAACCTTCTTGTTCTAGTCCAACTCCTAGCTCCACATGGATCTATGACCATGGACTGGGTTTCTAAGTGTCGCTTGGCAGGTTACTACCAGTCCTTTCTGTGGTTGACATCAGCATTTCGGAGATTGTTTTATCTTGACAAGGTGTGGATGACCTTAGACAGTTATCTGGAGCTGCTATCTAAGCTCTTAATCCGCCATGGGATACAACTTGGTCCAAAACGAAAGAGAACGGACAGTGTCTCAGCAGTCCCTGCAAAAGTGGCATTCGAGTAGCTTCTATCACAATGATGTATTTTTAACCAAGTCCGTTTCATCTGTGTACATCACACCAAAAAGACGGAACCCACATTAATTTGAATCTCGGTTCTGTTGCGAGACGTCTTAAAAAGTCATTGGTTGGTATCCTGATCGGAAAAAAAGACCTAAATAAGAGCATGTACGATGATTCGTCGTCAACAGGCGGTCAGAAGAGGGGGATAACGAGCATCGAGCGCAGCTGTGAAGTGATGTGAGCAACAGACCGCCATGCTGAGAGGAAAAGGACCTAGCTCAAGCGACTATTCCACCCCCGAAAGTCGGACTGAAACAACATACCAAATACAGAGACAGCGAGCATGATCTGTACAGGTTGAATGGATCAAAGTGGTCTAAGCGAATGAAACTGACGCGTGCGGGGAGGGAGCTTACCCAGGAACATGCTTATATCAAGCCATCTAGAATGCGTCAGCGGGAGCGAAGTGAGTATCGCACGAAGACTGACAGTGACGCGAGACCTTCTACCATGAAGCTTTGAAGTTGCTTTGAAGCCGAGAGTGTGCGAGATTGAAGGAAGCAAGATGAAAACCATGCCCGCACGAGAAGCAAAGTTGGATTGCGGGCATGGATGGACGTGGCAGACGTTGACTATGACATTCTTGAGGCGATAATTTTGGATGATGACTGCCATTACTGGGGAACGAGTAAGTAAGTGCGAAACCGCTGGAAAATCTCTCCCTATTGCACGTAATTGAAACTCGTGTTGGAATAGAGGAAGAGAGTTGACGAATCATTGAAAGGAGCAGCCAGAGCCATGATAGTTTGATCTTGCAGACCATGATCTTGCACCGGACCGATAGTGTGGATAGTCAAGAGAGGCGGGGGAGTCGTGATTGGTGTCTGGGTGGTGGCGTTAGAGGAAATATTTCGCTGAGATAGACGCATGTCACATTGAAGGTCGTGGCTTGGAGAGTGCCATGGGATTGGTGGTAGGAGCGCTGGCCGTGGAGGTATGGTCCCTGTGGAAGTCGATGAGAGATTGACTGGGTACGTGGTGGTTGTGAGGCCGTCATAGCAATTACGTGCTGGTATGGATGGAGAGCGACGCAAAGGAGAGTGTGGCCGGCTAGAAAGGTGTTGACGACGCTCGGACACTGTTTCTCGATGCAGTGGTGGCCTGGCAAAAATCGAGCGACTAGATGAAGAAAGAGTCAGAAAAGGAGAATAATAATGTGTATTCATCATGCACCTAGCAGCTGGAGCACCTATGTCACTGTGCAAGATATGGGCTATAGCCCAGAAGGGCAGAATATGGGCTGTAGCCCAGGAATATTATAAGAGAATCATTACTTACTTGTTTTTCTCCTTCTTTTTATTATTTCTAGTCATATGATATACTATTAGTCATGATATCAGTTAACCTAAGGTAATATATCACCTGTGTAACCATTTCTGTAAGGGATCAGTAATTTTGATGATTCCTTGATCTTACATCACTCCTAACTATATTATTTTCGATTTCTTTAATATGGCCTGTTAAGTATACAGTATTACATCACAGGTCTTCGGCCTGAAGAAAAGGTGATTTGCCTTTCCATATATGGTATGAGATTAGTCATAGGATGCTTTTCTGCCTTGTTTTGTAAAATAGCCCATATCTTATGCATTGCCCTTCTAGGCTAGAGCCCATATCTTGTGCATTGAATGAGCTGAAACAGGTGTTGCAAAAGGAGGACCAAGTGAGATGCCCCGAAGGCGCCCGAAATAGCGAAACAAAGACAAAGGACGCGAAATGAATTGAAAAAACGCCAACACACCACCACACGTGACCCCGGTGAAACACTTGATGGACAGGAAGAATCGATCTGCGGACGCCACGAGGCGACAGAAGCCGCGGGAGATTAAAACGCGCAGCCGAAGCTAAGCTTAAGCTTATGGGCTGGATGGAATTTGCAATTGGAAGGACGAGCTAAAGTCAAAGAACCCGAGAAACCAGGGCGACCGAGCCACGCCGACTCGAGACGAGTCGTTCCTAGGGACGGGGTGATGTCACGGATAAGACCCGGCCCATCCGCTCCGGCGCTGGTGTCGATGCCACATTGCTCGCTAAGATGATCACAGCTCCAGACGATGTTCTGAATGTGCCAATGCTCCGTTGGGTAGCATATATTCGATTATTTGACTTCGAATGGCAGCACGTCCGTGCAGAGTCATTCAAACTTTCTAGAAGTCCCCGGGCCCCCGAGGATCAGATCTACGACCATCTTGACGACTCCGAAGAAGTGCTAGACGCCATGCTCAGCGGAACACAGATACAGCTACAGTGAAGGTGAATGGGGGGTTTGGTCGCAAGACCAATTTTGAGGTGAGGTTAATGTCGCCAAAAAGGGCTTCGGAGTCGCCCTGGACCGGAGTTGGAGTCGGAATCAACGTCTCCGGTGATGGTGTTTGGGGTCCACCAGCATTATTAGCGGTTGCAGCGGCAGCGGCAGCAGAAGCCTGGTTGGTGAGTAAAGCAAGGGTCTCAGTTAGGCTATCAATTTTTGCCTCGAGTGAGTCCAGCCGGGCATCTGCGGTGGGAGTGACTCCAGACGGCATGACAGGTGCGGGGACCACAGGAGTCGAGGAGGAGGGCACAAGTGGCAGGGGCGGTGACGAGGGCGGAACAGACTCATACTCCGAGCCTGAGTCAGCGCCCGAACCTGGCAATCTTGTTGACGATGGATGTTACCAGCTCTGAAATTTGATCAAGGCCACTGGCACCAAAATGTCTTGTCGTTTGAGTCTAGATCTAGATCTGCATCTGTCTGTATCTCTGTCTAATCTTCAACCAACATCAATGTCTGGCCCAGGTTCAGTGCATGCGCACGGACATGCATTATTTTGTAGCCTTTTTGCCAGCCATATGATACTTCTGTTGAACACTCCCCTCCAGGCACAATGCCCAAGGCAAGATACAGGTGATACATTCATTTTTTGCTTCACTTTTCCAGAGAGGATGAGCCAAGGTTTTATCCATGACATATATACATGTATTCTGACAAGGTTTTTCTGTTTCTGTGCCACTTGCATCCATTTGTCACATGATGCAGGATCTTGTCTTATCGTTGGAATATATCACCTGAAGGGGGGGGGGGGTCCTAGAAGGCCAGAAAACCAGAAATTTTAATTTAAGAAGATCTGATACTATTTTAATTAGTTCACCCAAAAGTTCGCACACTGGGTTTTAAATTGAAAAGCCTTGTTAACTTTTCATACTCTTTAGGAATTATTTTGCTTCTCTGTTATTTCTCCAAGAATCAACCAAGAATCAACACAGTTCAAATACATAACATCATAGTTTTGGTGGGGCCAATCTCTATAGGTATTATAAGCATTGTCTGATTCACTAGAGCCAGGGATTGTAGTGCTGACTATATGCCAAAGAAAATGACCTGTTTTTGGCCGCAGCGCTGTTCAGATTTTTTCATTGACCCAGCATTGACCTTCGCCCTTGTGGAGTAGTCGGACTCGCGTGGCTCCGAATCACTAGTCGAATCATGATCGTGTCAGCTATGACTCATCGACATGCGACTTGACCAGAGCTTCCATGTCGTCGCTGCTGCCTCCGGAACTGGAGTGCCGGATCTTCGAAATCGCTGCTCTGGCGCGGCCGAAGGCGATTCCGAGCTGGATACTTGTCGCATGGCGTGTTAAACAGTGGTACTTGGCCGTTTATCTGCACTGGCAGTGCTGGCCACCGTTGACAAGATTGCCGAGGGTCGAGCCTCTCCTCTATCGCACGAGAATCACCGGTGTGTCCGTCGTTGCCGAGCTTCCTCCAATCTCCGTCGACCAGTTCTCACGGCGCTCGGCCCGGGGCATCAAAATAAAATTTACACTGCTCGAAGATTTGCTCTGAATGGCGCAGCCCGTCTCGAACAGGGTCTATGCCAGGCCGTGTTGGTCGCGTGGGCCAATCGCTGGTCTCAGCCTGTCTGTGAGCGACAGTTATTCGAGCCACGACCACAACCGCAATTTCCAGCACAAGCCGGTCGTTCAGCTTCTCCGGAAACCCAAACTTCATCGTTCCACGTCCCGATCCGAGTCGCGACCCACAGCAAGTAAACACATACGCTACCCACTCATCTCTCTCTCGCAGCCTAACACTCGTGCCTCGCGTTGACTGCGCCGGCGCATCAGCTCAGCATCCTGCACACAGCGCAAACAGAGGAGAAACGCACCGGGGCACCCCGTCTTGTCGACGATCTTCGCGAGCTGCGCGGCGCTCAGCGTCGCCGCGGACGCGGACGGTGCGGCGGCTGAAGGGCGAATCAGGAATGGCTATGTCGCTCAAGTGACGATGGACTGACATTTGGCGGCGGAGGGCGCCGCCTTCTTCGACGCCGCGGGCTTCTTCGCGGCCGCGGACTTGGTCGCCTTCTTCGCGGTCGCGGGCTTCTTTGCTGCGGCAGATTTGGTGGCCTTCTTGGCGGCGGTGGCCTTCGTGGCCGGCTTCTTTGCTACGGCGGATTTGGCGGCCTTCTTGGCGGCGGTGGCCTTCGTGGCCGGCTTCTTCGCGGCGGGCTTCTTTGCCACGGCAGATTTGGCGGCCTTCTTGGCGGCGGTGGCTTTCGTCGCGGGCTTCTTCGCGGCGGGCTTCTTGGCCTACGTAGGAGCTCAGTACGAACAACGGCGGCTGGGCGGGGAGCGTACGGCAGCGGTCGCGGGCTTCTTCGCCTGGCCGTCAGCGTCAGCAGCAGCGCACTTTGCACGACGAAAACATACAGCGGCAGCGGGCTTCTTGGCGGCAGCGGCGGGCTTCTTGGCCTGGTGGTCCCGGTCAGAGAACGCGGAGCGGGGTGTGGGTTGGGGCGTACCGCAGCGGTGGCCGGCTTCTTGGCCTGACGATCCAGTTAGCACACGGGGAATGCGTAGTCGGGAAAGGCGTACAGCAGTCGCGGGCTTCTTGGCCTGTGATTGCGTCAGTAAAAGAAACAGGCAACAGAGTGAGCGCATACCGCGGCGGTCGCGGGCTTCTTAGCCTACCCACATCGATATCAGCTCCAAGGAGCTCGTCGAAATGCAAGACACAACGTACCACACCGGTAGCCGGTTTCTTCGCCGCAGTGGCAGGCTTCTTGGCCACCGCCGCGGGCTTCTTCGCGGCCTACACACGATAAGTCCACACACACAGCTGTAAACATAGACTCACGGGTTTGGCCGCGGGCTTGGCGGCCTATCCTCCGCGTCAGCCCATCGACGTGGACAACAGGACACACAGGGTACGCACCGGCTTCTTCGCCGCGGCCTTCTTCGCGGCGGCCTTCTTCGCAGTGCCAGCCGGCTTCTTCGCCACCGCGACCTGTATTCACGGCATAAGTGGTCTGGTCGCGCATGGGGACGCCGGATCAACGCACGGGCTTGGCCGCCTATCTCCGCGTCAGTGCATCGTCGACGGGCACAAAGGGACACGCACCGGTTTCTTCGCGGCGGGCTTCTTCGCTGCGGGCTTCTTCGCTGCGGGTTTCTTCACAGCGGGTTTCTTCACGGCAGGCTTCTTCACGGCGGGCTTCTTGACCACCGGCTTCTTCACCGGCGCCTTCTTCGCCGCGCGCGCCTCGAAGTCGCGCGCGACCAGGTCCTACGCCGCGTCAGCCACCCTTCTCCCCAACCACACTCAGGCTAGGCATACGCACCTGCTCGCCAGCCTCCCGGATGAGCTCGATCGGCGCGGCGACGGCCTGGATCGCGAGGAGCACGGTGCAGAGGAGCGCGACGGAGATGCGCATCGTGAGTCAATCGAATATAAACCGATTCAAAGAGGCGAGGGGCGTAAAGAAAAGAGAATGCACGGCACGGCCGATGCGGGGGGGCGAAGAAAGAAAAAGGGGCGGGGGACGAAGACGCGCGAAGGGGAAGAAAAAAGGGTGGCCCGGCCAGGAGAATGGGGGCCGCTGCAGAGGTCCGGCTTGATATATGTGGCAGCGCGCATATGGGGGCGGCATCAGGCGTGCTGATCTGATCGCTGTGGCGATGGCGACGGGCGAGCTAATCTCCCCGATCAATAGTGACCGTCGCACGTCGTGTGCCGTGCCCTCGATACACCCACAGCTGGGCAACGCGCTCCGCAACGGCGAGGATTCGCGCGAATCGACGGCCTGTGCGAGCTGCCTGCGCCGTCCATGGCGATGGTCGTGCGCTGCAGCAGGTGCTGGGGAGACGACGAGTAATTCCTCGTCTCCGGATCGGCGCTTGCACCGCTTCAATTGAACGTAGCCGCGACAGGCGGATCCTGAGGATTGTGGAGATGATGGACTTGGCGGAATAGTGGATGTCAGATGAAGAAATGCCTCCGTGTCTTGGCGTTGTGGGATTGAGTCTAGGACTGGAAAGCACAGAAATGCAGGGACGCAAGCTCCGCCAACGTCGGACTTGCAGTAAGCCTGATCGCCAAGTTCTCCCCTCCCAGGGGCCAGGTGCTGGCCCCTGGGGTCCCCAGGCAATATTCGCATCGCCGCCGTCACGGCCATCGCCATAGAATCTAAATATATAGAATCGGAGCTTCCCTTGATTGTCGCCGGCGCTTAGCGACAAATTGATTCCTGATATCGCCAGGGCTTGGCTCGCGGCGTGCCGGGATATTTAGTGGGCCGCGACGCACGCCCGGTCTCCAGCTGTGCTCGACTTCCCGCCGTCGCCCCTTCTTCGCGCGTCCGTTTCCTCCTTCGCCCTCCCGCCGCGTTCATCCTTCATTCTTCGGCGTTTTTCCCATTGTTTGTGCGTCGCGCAGCGCGTCGTGGTGGTTCCGCTGACCTCTATGCGCCTAGCATCAACTTTTGACTCCATATTCAAGTTATCATGAAGTTCTTCACCTTTGCTGTCGCCGCGCTCGCGTCGTTTGCGTCGCTCGCGTCTGCCGCGCCAGTCCCCGTCACGGTCCCCGTTGAGGCGATCGAGGCGCGCGGCGAACTGGCCGCCCGTGCACCGCCCAAGGTCCCTACGCCCCAGGAGTTCATCAACACGGGGCTCATCAAGGCCCCGCGCCGCGACAAAGTGCGTTCCCACCCGCCTCTTCTTCCTATTCCTCACCAGCCGCCCAGGCCTTCTTCTGGACGGGCGTGCAGAACCAGGTCGGCGACGCGCGCCGGCTGCGCTCCGTCGCGCTCGACGTCGCCGCGAAGAACGGCTTCGACATCGTCGGCGAGATGCTCTCCGACGCCGCGCTGCGCCTCATCAACGGCCCGAAGGCGCCCGTGACGCAGCTGAAGGCGGCCGACGCGGTCAAGTTCGTCGAGCAGTTCTGGGACAACGCGAGCGCCGCGTTCGCCGAGCTCACGACGGGCCAGGTGACCGTCATGATGGAGGGCGACCCGAGCACCGGCCCGCAGCCCGAGGCGAGCAGCGTCTTCCAGCGCATCGAGCGCCCCATCCTCGAGGAGCGCGCGAGCTTCGGCGTGCAGGCGGTCACGGGCGTCGACCGCATCGGGCGCGACTTCCAGACGACGAAGCTGCGCGTGCCGTTCCAGGTTTGAGTTTAGCGGAAGGGAGGGGGGCGGATTGGATCTACAGTGTGATTGGGGAGTGGGTCGGAGTAAGGCGGGAATTCGCAATGGACGTGATGCTATTCGTACATTTTCCTATGAAATCGTCCGTTGGTTTGTCAGAGAACCTACAATGAGCGTTTGCAAGGTTTGGAAGCAGTGGAGGAGTCACCAGCGTGAGAGGAATGATCAAGGAGGAAAAAAATGTGACGGGGGGAAAAAAATGTGACGTGACGTCATGCCGCGTCACATTTTTTTTCTTGAGTCATTACACTAACAGCAATTACAACACTATGCAGTTATTGGAAATTGCTATGAGAATTAATAGTTCAATTCAATATAACACTGCACAAATTATTCCGCTAGCTCAGCAACAGCACCACTAAGCACATACACTACAAGTACCTGATTACAAGAATTTACTACCGATACATTACGCGTTTACATGCACCATTTACGCTCCATATCGAGCGGCACCGCGCTCGCCATCTCCGGGTTCTGGAACGCGTCCATGTCGCCGCCGGTCTCCCGCTCGGACTTGCTAATCGCACTGCGCAAGCGCTGCTCCGTCGGCGAGCGGGAGACTGTCCTGTGGTCGTGCACCGCGGGCGCGGCCTTGCGCTCGCGCCCGCGGATGATGCGCCACGCCTTGGCGAACCACTCCCGGCGCGAAAGCCGATAGTGTTTGTTCGACTCGTGCCGCTCGAAGGCAATTTTGTACGTCGCGTGGCTACAGCGGCGGGTTAGTGCTATCGGCAGTAGAGCCACACCGCGAAGACTACCTTATTAAGCACAACACCTCCTCCAGGGTCGGCATATCGCCACACCTACTGCGGAGGAGCTCCACGAGACACTGGCCCAGATACTCGTCAACACCCAATCGGGCATGCGCCCCTGAAAAGAACACTCACCGATGTCATACTCAACCCGTCCGCACTCTCCCAGGCCTGCTGCGAATCTTTGCACGAGGCAAGGGACACCACATCCGCGCGAACCGGGGGCGTCGCGCTATCCCCCGCCATCTCGGGCTTAGTCTGGCGGCACCAGCCGGTACAGAACTCGGCCACAGGGCTGTCAGTATAGAATCGCTCCTCGTCTTCCAGGATGCGAGAGAATGCGGGCGCAAGCGGCTGCGTTTGCACGTGCAACTGTGGCAGACACGGGACAACCTTCGCCACTTGCGATGCGAGCGTGGCGGTTCTTGACGGTGGGACAGGCTCGAACACCTCGGACCGGCGGACGTTGGCGCGCGGACCGGCGCGGGCTGAGCTGGCCGCGTGGGATGCCGGGGCAGGGGGAGGGATTGTTTGGGAAGGCATCGGAATGGAATCGGGGGACATATTTGCGTTGCGGCGAACTAGAGAGTATGTGAGGTTTCAATGGGCAGCATGTTGGTGACAACACACTGATATTGTAGCGCATGTCAACATCCTGGCTGTTATGGCGCCCGCGCCACTTCCAGGGCACCACGACACGGTTGCAGCGGTAGTGCCTCAGGTCAAGGAGCGAGCCAGAGTGACATGTATCGAGCACAGCAACGAGGGAGGAGCCTGTGGGAAGTGGGGTGATGAGGCGGCGATGGAGCTCCTTTACAACGCCATTAGTGAGCGGGGGACCGAGGTAAGGAATGACGCTCAACTGACGTTGTCGACGATCATGTACTTCTCCCCATCTTGAGGAACGATGCCTGCGAAAAAGATCACAACTTAGCAAAGCTAAGCGGGGAAGGCAACGCGCACATTCATCCATGCCGTCGTCCTCGGTATGGTTACGATTTGGTATTTGGGTGGAATGGCCGGAGTCTGAGTAGCGTGTGAATAGACCGGAATGGGGAGAAGGAAGGGATGCACAGTGGAAGAAGACCCGGTCGCCCGGCTGGACATCCCGTACAAGCTCGTCAATCGCATGCAGCTGCATAATAAGATAAATGGATGACAGCTATAAAGGACACACGCACGATATTGACTCTCGTCGGCTGGGAATGCCTCTTCAAACCACCGTCGACTAGCACCGTTATATCGTCAGGCTTGTATCCAAATCTATGAGAGCACGATGAGAGAGACGCTACTGGAAAGCGATGAGAAACGCACACGTCAATCAACAGCGCGCGCATCTTTTTTACATCAGCGCGGGCGGCCTTGAGCGGGGGGTACTCGCTGCCCTTGCATGTCTGGATCCCGATAAGTAACGCGCGTTTCTGCGGCTTGCGCAGACCCTCCAACGCGGGCGATGTCTGTGCCATCCGCAACGTCGGCGCGGAGTCCTCGGGGAGAGTGAGCGCGGGGGGGAGGGCGGAGCAACGGCGCTGCGCGAGCCGACGCAGGTGGGGAGGGGGGAGATGAAGGGGAGGCGGGGGCATGGAGTCGAGAGGGAGGGGGAGGGAGAAAATGAAGGCACACCCCGGGTATTTGTGGCGACAGGAAGCTGTACAGCTCTTCCCCAAATAGCCAAGCCGGAGCGCCTAACGCCAATCTCCTCGATTCTGGAATCTGTCAGGAATAAGCGCTTGCCACGCGGGAGTCTTCGACGCGGCGTGCCTGGACCTCCGATCTCCAATCGATGAGCCACGGGAAATGCGTCTGTCGCGACTTCGATGGCGCCGACTTTCCTTTCGCAAGTCGTGGTGGAAGTCGGGGACAAGAAGCGAGCGACGTGATTTGATAAGGTCACACCGAAGATCGGCAGTCACGGTGGAGTGGAATTTTTAGGTCCTCCGCGGGATCTGTTCCCACAGCCTCGGTTGCAAGGGGCAGCGATGGGATGACCAGATATCGGCGTAACACCACACTTAAGGCGATGCGGCGGTCCTACCGCTCCCTCAAACACCTCGTCCATCTAGTGTCAATTGATACTTAATCTGAGGGGGCCAAATCAGAATTTGTGGACTGAGGCCGAGGGGAGAGATTGATCTGCATGTAGTGCACGGCATCTCAAGTAATTCATAACAGCGCCTGTGGAGCTTAGTCACTGCTTCAATATCACCCACTGTTCCAATAAGAATTTCTCAAGTTCCAAAGGTAAGGCAGTGGAAGTTGATACCATCCGTTCAATATGGTGGTAAAAGCTGTAATATGACAAGAACTTAATCTGATTGTGTCCTGCTTATATAAGTCAATCACACAATAAAAATTGGATAAATATAGCTACTTAAATCCTATATGCAAGCATTACAAATATGATTTCCAGCAATTAGTGGCATGCTGGCCAGAATTATCTTATGGTTGATTCAATATTGAATATATTCAGAATATTATGAATATATTATGCCCTTGGTGGATCACTTGAATATGATTATGTTTGAATATGCTATATTATATTATGACTATACTATATTATAGTTACAGAATATTTAACTATAGTAAGATAGAAGATTACAGCTATTTTCTCAGGCTATGTATTTGGTCATAGTACTAATCTTAGTTTGAGTTAGCCCTACTTCTGATAAATGTCACACATTATCAATTATATATGGTGATTTATACATTACTCCCAAGTGTCAGGAGTGATCACTTAGGTTGACCCTATGAAAAATAGTGTAGAGCCCCTGATCAAGGTTCTACTGGTATACCTGATACTAGTGGCAATGCCTCTGATTGTATTTTGAGAGTCCTATGTATCTAGGGCTGGAATTAGAGGGGCCAGAAAGGAAGTTGCCCTGACAATCCAGCATGTATCAGATGTATCTTATGTTTTTAATTTGTTTTCTAGGAGCAAATATAGCAAATATATCAAGAGATATACATACTAGATTATAGTTGAATATATTTATAAGATATTCGCATTTTGCAGCTGAATATCATTATACTATACTACAAATATAAGGTATTTGACATCCACGCTTGAGAGAGGTCACGTGGGATTTCCTATTTGGGGTGATCAGCTTGTTTATATATATATATATATAAAAACTGTCTGTAAAGCCCACTTGTGTAGCCCAGTACTCACCGTAAATTGGTCTCTAACACTACAAGGTAGATGACCTATCTATTTAGAGACTCTGAACTAAGGGTCCAGGATGTCCATTCCTAGTCTAAAGTGAATTTAATACTAAGAAGGTAAAGAATTCACTCATTAGTGGTATTCGATCTTTATCAACCCTGAAAGACAACCATGGATCTCTAGTTAGGCTTAGTAGATAAATCTGCGAGAGTGCAAGGTACACTACTCTATCATTATATTATTTATCTACCCCCTTCATCTGGTATCATCATATTAATCTATTGAATGCTAAGTATGACTAAATACTGAGTTGAGGAGCATTTTGCTGATATCTTGGGCCCCCATGCATGGAATCTCATAATCTAAGTTGATATAGTTCCACAGGATGGTCGACTATAATCTTACTGATTGGTAATTATACAACAAATGTTAGGGTCAGTGAATTCTTAGAGAAGACCCTTGGTGCTATATAACCCAGGATGGAGATACTGCAGCATTCTGTAGGGGTACAACACCCTAGCAGCTGTCAGGGGAAACCCTGATGCCGTCACTTGATCCCATCAAGCGCCGCGTCTCCGCTCATGTCTCCGTGTCTCCACTCGGGTCTCCGTGTGTCCACCCGAGTCTCTGTATGTATTCCTGCACCCTGACGCTCTCCCTCCACTGCCCGCACCACATCCCGCATCCAGTGGTCCCCAGCCTCTGACTCCCATGGCCACCCCTTTCCAGGAGTCTTCCCGGAATCACCATCAGGGATCACTAATGCCATCGGAGACCCCTTCGGATGTGGACGCACTACTTTCCTCTGAGACCTTGAGCCTATGGCCTTATAGCCTCTCTAGGCTGTTGCCCATCGAGGTCTCCCTGCAACCTCTACCCTTTGGACCTCTTAGGTGTCCCCAACCTACGTCAGCGTTCGGGCTTATGTTTGGATGGCTGAGCCTCGCCATGGCTCCGCTCCCCACTCTGCTACTATGGCCCCTGTCATCGGGTCTTCCTTTGGGTGAGGCCTACTGCCGTTAAGGCTCGTGCCTACTGCAGCGCCCCAGGCTGCACACCCTCACACCTCTGCCTCTCTGGAGACATCCGGGGACGTCTCCAAGTGACCCTCCTGTCGCTACCCTCTAGTGGTTATGGCTGGCCGCCATTCTCATTGGTCCTCTCCAACACTCCCTGCCCTTGGGCCAGACCGACTCCTTCCCTCTCCGCTCCATGCCCCTCCTCTCCATCAACCTCTACCCTTTGGACCTCTTAGGTGTCCCCAACCTACGTCAGCGTTCGGGCTTATGTTTGGATGGCTGAGCCTCGCCATGGCTCCGCTCCCCACTCTGCTACTATGGCCCCTGTCATCGGGTCTTCCTTTGGGTGAGGCCTACTGCCGTTAAGGCTCGTGCCTACTGCAGCGCCCCAGGCTGCACACCCTCACACCTCTGCCTCTCTGGAGACATCCGGGGACGTCTCCAAGTGACCCTCCTGTCGCTACCCTCTAGTGGTTATGGCTGGCCGCCATTCTCATTGGTCCTCTCCAACACTCCCTGCCCTTGGGCCAGACCGACTCCTTCCCTCTCCGCTCCATGCCCCCCCTCTCCATTTCCGGCCGTCACGTCACGGTCACACACCCGGAATCGATTCTGATTCCGATTCTGGTTGTCACGGTCATGGTCACAAGCAGAGACACCCAGAGGCAGTCTGGACCTCCCGAAGCCTTTCCTCTTCTAAGGATGCCTGGGCTCGTCTGGATGCATTAAGTCACCGTGACATCACGTTTGCACGGCTATATAAGAACTGCTTCCCACTTCTGGTTCTCCATCTCCCTGGGGTCACCGTAATGAGCAAGCAAAAGTGCCCCGTCATCAAGCCAGCCGGTTGGGTCTTTCAGGACGCCAGCACCTGTGTAGCCCAATACCCACTGTGTACTATCTAGTCCACCCCAGCGGGGTGTCGCAGATAAGCCATGCTGCTCTCAGCATTGCCATAGAACTGAATAAACCTTGGAAAGGAAACTGAATAAATCTGAGCAGTTCTTAGGTTTTCACCATTTTTCACACCAAGTCCACATGACTGGCTATTATCACCTCACTCATAGTATGAATAATGTTCAATAGTGATTATATACCCAAGTATAGGAGTCAGTTCTGTGTAATCATGAACTACTCAAAAAGGAAATTGTATACCAGGTCCTAATAGTAAGTGAAATTCAGATACCTGTGCAGCCCAGATCAGCTCCATATATACTGTTAGGTTACAAGGATGACACAGTTCCCAAAAAGGAAATTTTCACAGTCTAACAGTGGAATCATAAGAGAGTGTCACACTTTGTCACAAAATCAAAGTTGTGTATTGTAACTATATAAACACCTTTCATTAAGTAACCTATAGTGGTGGCTCAATAAATGTGTTAGCACTGACTCATCACAAGCTCGTATTTAACTGATGGGCTCCTATCTCAATAGTTGCTCGACCTAAATACATGAATCAAGTGCTAGCAGGAAGGGTATCAAGGGCAAGTATTGATTATAAAGTATTTTGATCATCATCATATGATATGATTACTATATTGATCATTCGGTAATAAAAAAGAGAATATCTAGCACTTTAACAATGTAAGGTGACAGACTTGTAAGTTTAGCTACTCTAACAAAACCCCCTGGTGTATACCCTCCTCACTCCCAGTGACTATGGCACTGATAATACAATACATTCACTCATCAGTAGAATTTGATCTCCATCACCTCTGAAAGATGGGCACAGATCTCCAGCTAGCCTTGGTGGATACAGTTGAAATAGAGTTCATTTGAAAGGTATACTATCCTACTATCCTTGAGCCACATCAGTTATATTCTTTGTTACCATTGCCCTGATCTATTTACTGCCAAGCATGCCTGAATACTAAATTGAGCAGTATTTTGATGATATCCTAAGACTACATGCATGGAATCTCATGATCTAAGTTGATATGATATCATAGGATAGCCTAGCACACCCTTACTCATTTTCCACCATGGGGCAAATGCTGGGGCCAGTCAATTAATAGAGACCTTAGGTGCTATATAACCCAGGATAGAGATATGCTAGAGGGGTACAGGCACCAGTTTCGAGAGGGTGGACCATACTCCTACTAGTGAATAGACTCAGATTTCCCAGACTTGCAAAGGTCATGCTATGATGAACTCATCATTATTGGGATAGATAACACTGATAATGGTACTGTGAGAGATCCAGAATAGCTATGAGGCTGATTCAAGTGCTGAACAGGTTCATTTGAAGGTCTATACCATCTTATATCCAAGTCTTGCATCATACTTGAAATTAATTTCTGACCAGTTGTAATAGCGAGGACACTCTCTTTTGCTCTATGGGTACCTACCCTCTCTTCAGCTACCTTCTGTAATACATGCCAGAACCATGATGGATTATAGT